ACTTTACTTTTTCTGTACTAACTTATGTAACACTTTGAGAAATTTGGGGAGACATTAAATATGATTTCCTGTTAATTATTAAATTATTCCAAATGAATTTAATATACAACCATTTGTAGTCATTAAAATATATAATCTCTCTAGATCATAATATTACCTGAAGAGAGAAAATATGAAAAACATATTGAGCACATTGTAATTTCTCTTCTCTCTTGCCTTCTTTTCTCTTCCCTGATTTAAAATTAAGAGGTTCACTCCCCTGCTGGGTGTAATGGGAACGAATTTCAATGCAAACCTGATGGAAACTGCATTCCTGATCTGTGGCGCTGTGATGGGGAGAAAGACTGTGAAGATGGCAGTGATGAAAAAGGATGCAATGGTACAATTCGACTGTGTGACCACAAAACCAAGTTCTCCTGCAGGAGCACAGGTGAGCAAAGCTCAGGGTCTCTATTCTCTTTGGACACTGGGGAGGTAGAAAGAGGGAGCACCCTGCAACTCTCTAACCAGCCTGCCTTGCCTACTAGGTAAGCTCCAGGTCAGTGAGAGACCATTTCAAAGAGAGAGAGAAAGAGTTGGGGGAGGGATGGGGATGGGGATTGGGGAATAATACCAAGGTTACAAAGTTGTTTATTTTTCTCCTCTCTCTCTCTCTCTCTCTCTCTCTCTCTCCATTAAAAAAAACTTAATGGCAATATAAATTCTAGTAGTTTCTAAGTCAATAAAAATGGGTATTAAATTCCTTATATATAAAACACACACAGAAAAGATAAATAAAAAATAACCTGATTAAGAAAAGCTAATAGGATATTTCAAGTCCTTGTACATTATGTTGCAGTGTTGTGTTTATTGATGTTTGTGATGAGTGCTTATGAAATAGCTTGCTCTGAATGGAATTTAATTAAAAACTCTGAAATGTGAGGATATTGGCTAGTGATCTTTGGAATATTGAGTTCTTAAGTACATTCTTATGTGCATTTATTGGAAATTTGTATTATATATTTAATAATCTTCTTAATAAGATATGAGCTGATTATTGTTTCCAATTATACCAAAAAATGTATAAGACCAGAGTTGTGAAAAAAGCTGATGCTTTCTTTGAGAAGAGCATTGTAAAGATGATACTCATCCTTTACTTGTCATTGAATCTCTCCCCTGGATGTAATGACCATACTCTATCAAGCTTTGGAAGTCATGGTGGGCAACTCCAGTTGACCATGACCTTTGTGAATATTGGTGACACTAAAATGAGTTAAATGAACTACATATATACATAGTGAATTAAAATCTGTACACATCTATAGTCATTTTGAAAACTTTCATTTACTTTAAATTCTTAGTTTTACAAGCTAAAACTTATCAACTGCTCAAGTTGTTCAATTCAAAGATCATGTTTATTTTCAAATATGTGTCATATGCTTGTTCGAACATTTATAAATTTCTAAAACAATAGCTTTATATTTACTGATTAGAATGGCCCTTCTTTTTCATAAATTGCCATCTATTTGCACTTAGATGCAGGTGAATTAAGAAATCTAAATTCTTGTTAGGAAGAATGTGAAAGCTAAATTAAAATTCAAAGCAAAAATTAATATATCAGAGTGTCTCATCCCAAAGAACGTAGCTTGGACCATAATGGTGTTCTCTGTCACCTGCGGTCTTACATCCTGCCCTGCAACTATGACCAATTTTATAAATAGAAAATCAAAATAGGGGGCATTCAAGTGCATGGAAAAGTAATTCTTCAGATGGGAAATAAAAAAATATTGGCAATAAATGATATCCAGGTTATGGAGAAAATAAGGCCGTCCAGATGAGAAAGGTATGTCAAATTCACTGTGCCTTTCCATTTTGAGAAATTCATGTAAACAACAGGAATATGTAAGATGACATGAGCACAAAGATACTCAATGCAGCATTCTTGTTTTTCAAAACAAAATAGTAGATGCAATGTATTTCTGATCATCAGGGGAACTACTAAATAATTAGTCACACATGACTAAGTTTATCTTCACACAATGACTCACACAGTTTATCCTCATTTCTTTATAAAAGAACAGGAAAGAAATTTACAGGAACCCCTCCCCCCAATGCTAAAATCACAAAAAAGAGATAATGACATGTAACAAAAGAAAATGAGGAGGAGATATTGAATTATTAAGAGATAAAATATATTTCTGAAAGTCAGCAATAATGTGGAATATCAAATGCTGAGCTGGCGCAAGCTGGGGACCCAACTGGGCTGGATATGCAAACTCGGGGAAGTGAACAGGTTCTCAGGCTTTGGTTCTTACAGGAAATATAGTTGTCCCACAGGACGCTGGGAACTGAGACCAGGTTCACTGAAAACCAAAATTTAGAAGAGCAGCCTACATGTGTTTGAAAGGAGAATTAATATCTCCACATGCCTGCGGATGTATATACACATACATATATATGTATTTATCTGTCTTTATAGTAGGTGTTGGCTGCAGCCTGGGGCAGTAGCTTCACAGAAACATTGTGCCTAAAGAGATGGACAGGAAGCACAGGCATGGCAATTCAGGAAACAAGCCGCTGTTGGACTTAGAATTTGGACTAAGAAAAATCCAGCAGTACTTGGGGGTGGAATCCTAAGAAAAACAAACAGATCCATTAAAGAATCATAAGTGCTGGGAATCCTCAGGTCAAGTAGAGACAGTGACATCTTCAGATCAAGATGAATGAGAAGATGGGGGAAACATGCCATTACAAGGAGTCTGTAAGCCAGATTGTAAGATACAGACTGAAAGAAAATCAGTTCCTAAAGTTGGGCATTACAAAACACATTTCTAGTGATTAAATGGTATGACATATGTTACTTAAAATAAGTGTGGTGATATGCTCAAAAAGTACAAAACATAGAAAAAAGCATCCCTCAAATAAAATACAAGCATAAATATGTAAGTAAATGTAATGTATATGCACATACATATGTCAGGCAGAGTATTTCAATAAGAAATAAGGAGACTGTCCTGATCATTTCAGACTGCTGCAATAAATCACCATAAACTGTGTTACATAAACAACACTCATTTCTCACATTTCCAGAGGCTGGCATGTCCACAACCCAGGGTCCAGAAGACCCATTTTCTGCTTGATACCATACTCTATGTATATGGGGTTCCTTGATGTATAAAGTTCCACTTTCATGACCTAATCACCTGCCAAAGCCTAATATCATCACACAGAAGACAAAGATTGCACTATCAGTTTTGTGGCAGCAAAGATACTCATTTTAATAACACCCTTAAGAAAAATGCAATTCAGAATTATAATGGGGTTACCGTTTATTTAGCATCATTTTGGTTGTTATTATTAACATGTACAATAACATCTGTGCAGGTGAGGATAGCTGAAGTAGGCAGTGGACGTGTGTGTGTGTGTGTGTATGTGTGTGTGTGTGTGTGTGTGTGAGAGAGAGAGAGAGAGAGAGAGAGAGGTGTGTCTAAATGTGCTTTCTAACTCACCCCAAATTCTGCCTCTAAGAATTTACCATATATATATATACATATACATATATATACATATGATGTTAAATAATGAGATATACACAGCTATATATCTTAGTTTCATAAAAAATGAACAATGTACTTAATAAGCTTAAATCATTGCATTTTAAAGCTCATATAAATCCCAAACTCTTAACAAAAAAGAACATGTGTTATTCCCAAGATGGCTTTCAAATTTTCAAAAAAAAAAAAAAAAAAAAAAAAAGAAAATTTTGAGAAGTTATTCCTTTTATATAAACCTTGTTAGAAACTGGTATCACAGAGGCATGTGATGGTTAGTTTGGCTGTCACCTTGATTAGACTAAGAATTTGTGAAGAGATTAATAAAGCACATTTCTAGGTGTCTGTGTGAAAGCATTCCTTTAGAAGATTAACTAAGTAACAGAGAAAGACCCGGCCTGAAGGTGGGTAACACCATTCCATCAGCTGGGGGTGGTGGAGGAAATAAAGAGGGAAAGAACAATCTGGTTAGCACAGGTATCCCCTGGCTCAACTTCCTGCCAGGGCATGGGCAACCACTGCCACAGGTCTCACCACTGCGGGGCTCTGCCTCATTATGGGCCCCCAGGCAATGATGCCACAGGCTGCAGAATCCAACGTCTAAAGCCATGAACCCAGATACAGAATTCCTCTCTCTGAGTTATTCTCTGAAGTATTTTGGTCACAGTGATAAGGAGAACAACTACTACACTGCATTTCTAAACTCATAAACTTCCAACTCATCAATGGTTTAATAAAGACATCACAATGCATATATTGAACGTTTTAGAACTAAGCCAAGTGGGAATTACTATCCAGGAAAATTCCTGTGTGATTTTAAAAATAGGCTAATTTTTAGAACAACATAACTTGGCAGAAGTTATGGAGTGATCCCCTTTCCCACCTTCCCTTACCTAGCTTCCTCATTATAAACGTCCTGCCCCAGAATGGCCCATTTGTTGCAGTTGATGAACGCGCATTCATGAATCCCATCACACCAAGGCCTTACTTTAAACTAGCATTTGCTCTTGGCGGTATGCACTCTGTGATGTTGGAAGAGTGCATGCATTCATATTACAATGCCATGCAGAAAGGCATTGGTTCTCCTCTTCTTCATCCTCATCCCCCCTTTCCCTGGCAATTGCTGAGCTTTGTACAGTCTCCACAGCCCCGCCGCTTCCAGAATATCATAGTTCTGTAATCACACGGTGCATAAATTTCTCATCGGTTTCTTTCAAGTAGGAATATGGACTTCAGTTTCTTCTTCAGTTTCTTCGGCTTCGTTGCTCCTTTCTTTTATTGAAAAATAATCCACTGTCCAGATTATGTTACGTGTTATACTATTTTTTAATCTATTCATCTGCTGAAAAACATCTTGATTTCTTGAGACTTTTTCCTAAATTCTCAAGCTTGCCAATAAAATTTTAACAAGCATTTATTAAAAGAGATATGGGCTTTTATGTGACAAATATTTTCATTTCATTTGGGCAAATATTTTCTATCTCATACACTAAAACTATATTTAGTTTTATTGTAATTGGAGAGATGGTTCAGTTGTCAAGAGGACTAGCTGCTCTTACAGAGGTCTGAGGTTCAATTCCCAATATCCACATGGTGGCTACAACCATCTGTAGCTGCAGTTCCAGGGGAATCCCACGTCCTCATCTGACCTCCTTAGGCATCGCACATTTATATACATGCGGGCGATATACTCAAATACATAAAATAAATAAAAATAATAAATAAAATATTTTTAGATGTTTAGTTTTATGAGAAATTGACAGTTAGAAACTGTAAATAACCTGGGACCCAAATAGGGCATCTTTGCAAACATTATGGCACCTTTCTAAGATGGAATAACTTTTCAAGAATGGAAGTCATGACTAACCACTGTCATAGATGTGTCACTATGACTGTGTTG